GCGTAGCCGCGTAGCCGCGTAGCCACTTCATAATATACTGCCTCGTTCTAAAAAGACAGGGAGACCGGTATTCAATTTCTGACTGCGTAGCCGCGTAGCCGCGTAGCCGCGTAGCCACTTCATAATATACTGCCTCGTTCTAAAAAGACAGGGAGACCGGTAGTTCACTTCTGACTGCGTAGCCGCGTAGCCACTTCATAATATATTGCCTCGTTCTTAAAACACAGGGAGACCGGTATTCAATTTCTCACTGCGTAGCCGCGTAGCCACTTCATAATATATTGCCTCGTTCTTAAAACACAGGGAGACCGGTATTCAATTTCTGACTGCGTAGCCGCGTAGCCGCGTAGACACTTCATAAACCTTTTCATTCGAGTGGCAGATGATTTCCTTCATTTTCTTGATCAGTTTGCTTTTCTTGATCACAAACAAGGTCACAGTAGCTATATAGTGAAGCTAGCCATCGCGATCAGGCCACGAGGCCGACGGATGTACAAAACAATACATGTCAAAAATGAAAGTAAGCGCGGATTGGTTTAGTTTGAGATCCCCATGGAAACTGAGACTGCAGACCATCTGCAACGCAGGCGCTACCAATTTGAAGCACAATATTCACGACGAAAAGACGCTAGCATTTTTAGACGTGGTGTTTCACAGGAAGCCCACGTAAAAATATTCAAAAAATGATGTGAAAAGATCATACGCAAAATTTATCAAACCGATGGCGGCACTGGTAAAAATATATATATTTCACGGTAAAATTCTATACACTTCACGTAACCTGGACACGTACTTATGTTCCACGACGTGGTTCTTGTTAATTATTTAATGTGAGTTCAAATAAAATTGTTTATTCATGTAGAAGGATATTTCTTTTCTAAGGTCTTGGAGCGATGATGTCAAAACACTAGACCAGTCCTGGACTCCTTTCGACCCGCTCCAGGGGGACTCGCGGGGAAAGAGAGTCCAGTATAACTTGCATGCGCATGTCAGCTTTGTGACCTCGTGATGATCACCATACTCGTCCCCAGTGCACCTCGGTCGTCCCTTCTTGTTTTTGTTTAAAGTTTTTATGGCATATTTTGCATTTGAATGACTTCTCCATTGTTTGAATTGCCTGTTGTTTCTTTGTATGATGCAGTACACCACTTCTCTCTAGATTGCTGCTTACTTGGTGGTGCAACGAATATAATGTAATAACAAAATGGACACTCAAAACATAAGTAATGAAAGACTACACGGGAAATGATATCCATTTGCAAAGACATGTCTTCTAAATGAATATAAAGAAGGTAAGGTTTTCCGTTTATACGACGGCGGCTGGTTAAAGGAAGTCCATTTTCATCCTATCAACGAAAGTTCAATTAATTGCTGCTTCATGAGAGCACAATGCACCCCCTCTATGAAATTAAATGACGTACCTCATTCGCTGTGGATTTGTACACAGAAAACTGGGGAGATTCACAGCTGCTTTTTGTGCTTTTGTACTTGTACGGCAAGGAAAGGATATTCTTTTATTTTACTCATATTCGAATTAATAATAGCCATTGATAAGAACATCGAGATTTCGGGAAGGTTATACTTTAAGACGGCACATTTGTAATTTACAAATGTCAGACGATTAGATATTAGTAAACAAACATGTAGGTATTTGTAATTATATGTACTGTAGCAATCTTTCAATTCTGAAATTGCAACATTGTTCAAGGCTAGAAATAAAGAAACGAAGGGAAAAACTATATAGTAACAAAATATTCTACAATTTCCCCGGCTACAATATCCCCGACTTCGAGTTCAAACAAGACCAGAAAACCCCGAGAAGGAAAACCAGAAAGAGGACATAATTTCTTGATTTTCATCAATTTCAATGTCTTCTGTTTGCACAGATTCAGAAACCGGACTTCTAGTTGAATTTGGTAAAAAATATTCATCAGTTTGGCTTGCTGTGCATGACACTGAAACAAGCTCTTCATTTTCATCAATCATTGCAATAACTTCTGTTTGGACTGACTTGGAAACGAGACTTTTTGTTTGGTTTGTTGATAAATGCTCATCAGTTTGGCTGGCTGTGCATTTCAATTCTGGCATACATCCACCTTTGTTGAATCTTTTCTATTAAATTGAAGAATAACAAATAGACTTAGTTCTTTTGATTAGGAATAACAAAAACATAACAATTTGTTGTCGAATTGCTATAATATACTTGTTGTCGAATAGCTATAATATACTTTAAGACTTCATAATATGTCAGGTAGTATAGGTGACTCCACATACTCAAATTTATGTACATGTATTATAATGTACCCTATACCAGTGAAAAAAATAAACCTATCGATCTGCGTACGTGTTAATTAGCAAGCGATTTTTCGCTTGCGCAAGTGACTAGGCTCAGTCTCCAGCCGTCGGGATTTCGTGCGCCCGCGATACTCTTTCCCCTGACGGCTGGGCGCATGGGGTTTGCTATTGTCAGTCTCGACCAATCAGCGAGTGGCCCCCGATATTTTCAGGGGCATATCATTAATAAATTAGCAGGCAGCCGTCGTCGCAGTGTAACAAAATAGCGGACAATTCGTCGTTTGAGATTCTCGTTTGAACGCTCTGAAGTCGTTTAGCTTGGACGAATTTAGAGAAATACAGCAAAAGGCTCTTAAAGAGATTGTTCTTGGAAAAGATGTCCTTGTTATTCTTCGTACTGACTCGGGCAAATCTCTTATTTTTCAAACAGCGCCACTAGTGTATTTTGCTCGTCTTTCTGGCAGATAACATATCCATTTGGATTATTAAACCCTACACATATTTTACTTAGGGTAATTTCTATTCCTTTAGTCTTTTTTAAAGCGCTAACTATTACATTATATCGTTACTTCGCGAAGTTTTCATTAAAACCTTTTAAATAGGGCTGCTGTCAGATATTTCACTTCCGTTCAATGAAAAATTCACTTCCGTTATTCATAATATGCTAATTACGCAAAAACGTCACGGACATGCGCGACACGCTTCGAACCCCATGCGCCCAGCCGTCAGGGGAGAGAGTATCGCGGGCGCACGAAATCCCGACGGCTGGAGACTGAGCCTANATGGCGACCCTTCTAGATTACAATAAAGGCAAACATGCATCAAAGAACCTTTTTGTGATTATTTTCTAACATGAGAAAATTCACCATCTTTGGTTTTTAACCAAATAGAAACCAACTTACTTGTAGATGCATATTATGCTCAAGTCATGTACAGTCATTTTATCTTAATCCAGCTGCTGATCAGACACGCATGATGCAAGATCAGATGCAAATGCAGATGCCACCAGACCCAAGCAAGGCCTTCAAGGTATTACAACAATATATTGGTTTTCATTTACTGATTTCCTGTACATGTACAGGATTTGTTAAAGTCCATTCATGGTAGACTCTGGGGCCAGATTCCCTTTTCTTGATAAATTTCTGATTTGTTTAAAAGGACATGAACAGTCCTTAATGTTTTCAAGTTAGTTTTTACGACATCACCAGTGCATACACTTTCTCCCTTCTTTACAAAATTAAACACAATTCACTCCTCATCAAACATACTTTCTATTAGATTAATACAACTATAAATCTAAGTCTTATCAATTTGTTCCCAGGCTGAATGGGAAGCACTAGAGATAGTTGAACATGAGTGGGCTYTAGAAAATGTTGAAGAAGAACTTATTGAAGAATACTCTCCATCCGATGTGTTTGAAGTAGCCAAAGATAAATATGTGTAAAAWAATTTGAGAAATAAAATCTGCACCAAAGATATTAGTCTAATGCACTAATACAACTGTAGGAAATTGGAATGGTGACATCATAAACTACAAATTGCTCCGTTTGTTATGTCATGATATCAGTTCATAAAGGAAATATAAAGCTTTATAACAAACAGAATATTCTCAGGGTATTCTGATAGTTGTAATAATTGATGCCATATCATGCAGGTCGTTTTCAGCAATTTTACTCTGGAACATGCCGTATCGTTTTCAGCGATTTTACATTGGAACAGGGTTTCGTTTTCAGCAATTTTACTCTGGAACAGGGTCAGGGTTTTAAGGGCCCAGCTGCACCCCCACCCAAGTTGGAGGGGAGTACCTCCCCCCCCCCCCCACCTAATTAATCCCTAATTTCTATTGAAGGCAACTTTTACACATTATCTAGTGCCTAAGTTGTGTAAACAAATGAACAATGAAGACAAACGGTTACAAACCACTTTAATAAAAACAGAACATACAGTATTCAGTGCTTTGGCAAACACTCAAGTAACTTGAACAATCTTTGTGATTATAACTATTATGCCTGATTATATTACCAGGAGGGTGCTGCATTCATGTAGAATTGCAGATTTTGCATATCAATCAGTCGAGCTTTTTTCATCATATCTAAAAAATACTGATTTACAATTCTCAATCATGTTYTATCATAATTATAAAAATGATTAATTTAATTGCAATTTAATGCCATTTAAATAAAACTCCATTTTACGATTTCCAGCATCATATTCAAAGGTAGCCAAGCCTTTGCAGTGTTTGAGAATACAATACCTGTGACTAAATGTTCTTAAAGGCTAAACTGTATCTATCACTGAAGGGTCAACCAACTCACTTTTCTGCATTGATGCAAAGGCTTAGCTTTTTAAGACAGCAGTGGTGACTGTAAAATGAAACCCTCAGGACATTTTATAATTTTCCACAATCCTTCTCTGAAATGTTTTGTTCTTTTGGCTGGATATCAACGAGAGACACAAATGGAATCAAGAGCCAATAGTTTTACTGCAAAAAAGAATTCTGGTATGGAAAGTATAAAAATGTCATACAGAGGGTTTTAATAATGATAATAATTGTACTTTGTGTACTCTGATAAATATTATACTTAGGAACTGAAACATTTGGTGAATATAAATATGGTGATATACTTAAAACAGAGTGCAAAAATACACCTGTTTATAAAATTCTAAAACAAAACGAATTAATCAGTTTGAATTCGATATAATCAAAGAATTCTTTTGCGTTTCCACATTGTGCACCCAAGCTAATCCATTATTGAACTATTCTTGTTTTGAACATAATAATAAATAACTAGTTAGTTCAGATTATTGAAAATTAATCCTTCGTGGCTTTTATGGTACAACTTACTAAGGTTTCCAAGTATTCTTCTTGCTAGTGAATTCGATGATGGGGCACTAAAAAGTACTGCTTCCATGCAAAAGTTCGATTGCATATAGTGCATTGGTACTGTATGGCTTTTTCCCAGTATGGATTCGATGGTGCCTTTTTAAGTTTACAGATCTTAACTGCAAAGCCTTCACTACATCAGTGTGCATTAAAAGGGTTTCTCTCCATTGTAGATTCCATAATGGATCTTTAAGTTCTGCTTCGATGTAACAGCTTTCTTGCAAACTGTGACTTTCAAGGTGCCTTCTGTTTATCAGGAATTCTATCATCATCAGTCTGTAATTCCTGGTGTCCTTGGAATGGTTTGTCTGCACAGTGGGTTTGTTAATTGTGATTTTGTAAGTAATCCTTACTAAGGATTCCGAGTATTCTTCTTGCAAATGAATTTGTTGATAGCCCAATGAGTACTGCTTCCACGCGTTTTATTGCAGACAGTGCATTATGCTATGGTTTCTCCCTGGTATGGATTTGATGGTGCCTTTGTAAGCTAAACTTACGTGCAAAGTCTTTACTACAGATTGTGCATTTAAATGGTTTCTCTCCATTGTGGATTCGATGATGACTGTTTAAATTAGTCTTTTTTGTGAATGTTTTGTTACAGATTGTGCATTTAAATGGTTTCTCTCCACTGTGGATTCGATGATGTCTGTTTAAATTAGTCTTGTGTGTGAAGGCTTTATTACAGATTGTGCATTTATATGGTTTCTCTCCACTATGGATTCGATAATGGATCTTTAAGTTCTGTTTAGATTTAACGGCTTTCTTGCAAACTGTACATTCAAAAGGCTTCTGTTTATCAGGAATTCTATCATGAGTCTTTAATTCCTGGTTTCTTTTGAATGGTTTCTCTGCACAGTGGCCAGTTTGTTCATTGTGCATTTTTAAGTGATCCTTACTTTTATATGCTTTGTCACAGATTGTACACTTAAAAGGCCTCTTGTTACTGTGGATGATTTTGTGCGTCAGCAAGGAAGTCTGTTTTGTAAAGGTTTTATTGCATATTGTGCATTCGAATGACTTCACTTCACTGTGGCCTTTTTTATCTGTACTTGCACTGGTATGGTTTTCATGATGGATACGATGGTGCGTTTTTAAGTTACACTTATATGTAAAATATTTTTTGCAAACAGTACATTGGAATGGCTTCTCTCCAGTGTGGAGTCGCTGATGGAGCTTAGCACTGCTCTTACATGCAAAGGTTTTATTGCATATTGTGCATTTRAATGACTTMTCTTCTCTTCCCWGGTTCTCTGRGCTAGTGYCTTGTGCYAAGKMTTTATGGTGGATTCGATGGTGTGTTTTTAAGTTCCCYTTATATGTAAAATCTTTCTTGCAAACAGTGCATTGGAATGGCTTCTCTCTGTGGTGTGTTTGATTATGTTGCATAAGACCAGTCTTTTCTTTATTGAAGATTCTACTTTTAAATCGTTTTCCTCCAGTATCTCTACCGTGCTGTGAGTGCTGGGCATTTGCATGACTCTTTAGATGATGCTGTTGTCTAAAAGCTTTGTTGCAGATGTTGCATTTAAATGGTTTCTCTCCACTATGCATTCGATNACTCAAATTTATGTACATGTATTATAATGTACCCTATACCAGTGAAAAAAATAAACCTATCGATCTGCGTACGTGTTAATTAGCAAGCGATTTTTCGCTTGCGCAAGTGACTAGGCTCAGTCTCCAGCCGTCGGGATTTCGTGCGCCCGCGATACTCTTTCCCCTGACGGCTGGGCGCATGGGGTTTGCTATTGTCAGTCTCGACCAATCAGCGAGTGGCCCCCGATATTTTCAGGGGCATATCATTAATAAATTAGCAGGCAGCCGTCGTCGCAGTGTAACAAAATAGCGGACAATTCGTCGTTTGAGATTCTCGTTTGAACGCTCTGAAGTCGTTTAGCTTGGACGAATTTAGAGAAATACAGCAAAAGGCTCTTAAAGAGATTGTTCTTGGAAAAGATGTCCTTGTTATTCTTCGTACTGACTCGGGCAAATCTCTTATTTTTCAAACAGCGCCACTAGTGTATTTTGCTCGTCTTTCTGGCAGATAACATATCCATTTGGATTATTAAACCCTACACATATTTTACTTAGGGTAATTTCTATTCCTTTAGTCTTTTTTAAAGCGCTAACTATTACATTATATCGTTACTTCGCGAAGTTTTCATTAAAACCTTTTAAATAGGGCTGCTGTCAGATATTTCACTTCCGTTCAATGAAAAATTCACTTCCGTTATTCATAATATGCTAATTACRCAAAAACGTCACGGACATGCGCGACACGCTTCGAACCCCATGCGCCCAGCCGTCAGGGGAGAGAGTATCGCGGGCGCACGAAATCCCGACGGCTGGAGACTGAGCCTAGCAAGTGACGCGATCTTCTCAAAATCACCAGCGAGCGATGGGGTGTAGTTAAGTATAAGTATGGACAAGTCTTGTTCCCCATCAAAGATATCAAGATTTTATACCCTACAATCCTAAAAAACTTCTACAAGCTAAAAATTTGTGTTTCAACTCGACATTTATTCCTCCACCTTACATTAATTGTGCTGTTAAAACAGTGGTAAACCAGCAGCTTTTTAATGTGTTGGGGTCTGGGGTTTCAATCCCGGTGTTTGTTTGTTTGTTTGTTTGCTTTTTTTTGGGGGGGGGGGGGGGGGGGGGGATGTTACAGACCTTATCCGATACTTGAAGTTTTACCAGATAGTTTTCGCGTATTAAAGTATGTCAATATGTCATCACGTTTTGACTCATAGTTTTCACGATGATAAAATTCTGTATAAGACATGGGAAACATAGAAAGAAAACCCAGCTAATCCTCGGTGTAAAATCCTCACGACTGACGTCAAAAAAAAGGAAATTACTTCTAATTTAATTTTAGGGATACTGGATACAACGCAACCTAATTATTATTCCTGAGCTATTCAAAGTTTCTTTAGGAAGTTTAGGTAGTGGATACGCGGATACGCGACCTCATTAATATTCACTATTCAAACTTTCTTCCCCAAAAATTTGACATTTGAGAGTGATGATAAAAAATTGTAATAACTGAGTGTCTATAACGTACAAGGGGACACTATGCTCCAACACTCACTTATCTCTAGCACGAAACAAATTACATGGAAGAGTAATGAAAAACGTTTTCATTTCAAAAAATTCTGAATGTAATCTGGTTAAACGTGATTAAAAAAATAGAGGTGAGTCGTGAAATAGCCAAATTTTTAGCCGTGAGTCGTGATGCGTATTGAGACCTTCTTGAAAGAGTTGTCTGTGGTGCTGGAAGTTTCTATTGAAGGCAACTTTTAGTACATTATCTGACGGTTAAAACCACTTTAATAATAACAGAACATATTCAGTGCTTTTACAAATACTCAAGTAACTTGAACAATCTTTGTGATTATAACTATTACGCCTGATTATATTACCAGGAGGCTATTGCATTCATGTAGAATTGCAGCTTTTGCATATCAATCATGATCAGTCTTTTTTATCATATCTAATACTCTGAAGTACAACTCTCAATCATGCTCTATCATAATTATAATGCCATTTAAAAAAACCCTCCATTTTACAGTTTCCAGCATCATGTTCAAAGGTAACCAAGCCTTTGCAGTGTTTGAGCAAACAATACCAGTGAATAATGTTCTTAGCGGGTAAAAAAAGGTACGGCCGTATCTATCACTGCAGGCTCAACCTACACAACCACTCTTCTGCATTGATGCAAAGGCTTAGCTTTTTAAGACGGCAGTGGTGACTGTAAAATGAAACCCTCAGGACATTTTAAAATTTCCTACAATCCTTCTCTGAAATGTTTTTTCTTTTGGCTGGATATTAAAGAGAGATTTAATAATGATAATTGTACATTGTGTACTCTGATAATTATTATACTTAGGAACTGAAACACTTGGTGAATAAATATGGTGATAACCTGTTTATAAAATTCTAAAACAAAACGAATTAATCGGTTTGAATTAGGTTCTACATAGACTTAGGTTTACGAGTATTTTTCTTACTTTAGTGAATTCATTGATGGGTCACTACTGCTTCCATGCAAAAGTTCTATTGCGATAGTGCATTGGTATTAGGTTTGTCCCTGGTATGGATTCGATAGTGCCTCTCTAAGTTAGACTTAGCTGCAAAGTCTTTACTACAGATTGTGCATTTAAATGGTTTCTCTCCACTGTGTGTTCGATAATGGATCTCTAAGTTCTTTTTGGATGTAACGGCTTTCTTGCAAACTGTGCATTCAAAGGGCTTCTGTTTATCAGGAATTCTATCATGAGTCTGTAAATTCTGGTTTCTTTTGAATGGTTTCTCTGCACAGTGACCGGTTCGTTCATTGTGATTTTTTAAGTGATCCTTACGTTTATATGCCTTGTCACAGATTGTACACTTAAAAGGCCTCTTGTTACTGTGGATGATTTTGTGGGTCAGCAAGGAAGTCTTTCTTGTAAAGGCTTTATTGCATATTGTGCATTTGAATGAATTCACTTCACTGTGGCTTTCACGATGTATCTGCAGTTGCTGCTTACTTGTACTTGCACTATGGTTTTCATGATGGGTTTGTTGGTGTGTTTTTAAGTTAAATCGTTTTCCTCCAGTATCTCTACTGTGCAGTGCATTGGCATGACTCTTTAGATGATGCTGTTGTCTAAAAGCTTTGTTGCAGATGTTGCATTTAAATGGTTTCTCTCCACTATGCATTCGATGGTGCACATTTAAACTGCGTTTACTTGAAAACGTTTTCCTGCAGATACTGCACGTGAATTCTTTCTCTCCTCTGTGTATTTGAATGTGGAGTTTCAGGTACCCTTTTTGTTTATAGGTTTTATGGCATATTGTGCATTTGAATGACTTCTCTGTTGTTTGAATTGACTGTTGTTTCTTTGCATGATGCAGTACACCACTTCTCTCTAGATTGCTGCTTACTTTATTCTTGTGTGCTTCTTTGTGAATCTTTAAACTGTTCTTATGGGCAAACACTTTATCACAAGAGTCACATTTAAAAGGTTTTGTTCCATTGTGTATTATCTTTTCATAATTCTCCAAGTGCCTCTCACACTTGAACCCCAAGTTACACTTGAAACATATGAACAGCTCAGTGTCATCTTGTGAAGGTTGATGCTGGTTCTCAGGAGAAAAGCAATCCTTTTCATTTTCAGAAATATCTTGGTCATCTTCATCTCCTTCAGAATAAGAACCATGATTGGCCTGAAAAGTGTCTTCATTGACTTCAATGTTGCTTGGTTGCTGTATGTCATCATCACTATCATCACTTAATTCTATGTAATCAATGTCTTCAAGTAAATCAACATCAAGTACCATGTTTTCATTCAGCTCTGTGTCTCTTGTTAGTGTAGTAGAGTGAAGCTTGGGTGTATGAGATGACACTAAAACTAGCTCTTCATTTTCATCAATCCAAATAACTTCTGTTTGGACTGACTTGGAAACCAGACTTTCGGTTTGGTTTGTTGATAAATGCTCATCAGTTTGRCTGGCTGTGCAWKTYAATTCTGGCATACATCGACCTTTATTGAACCTTTTCTAGTAAATTGAAGAATGGCAATAGAATATTTAGTCTTAGTGGATTGGGAATAACAAAAAACATATAAAAAGAATTTATTATTCTTAAACTTCTAATATACTTGAAAACTTCTTTATGTCAGGTTGTATATATCTGACTCCACATACTCAAAAATATATGCATTATTGTACGAGCCATTTTTCGCTTGCGAAAGTGACGCTATTTTCTCAACAATACAAGCGCACAATGGAATCACACGTGTAGCCTGGCTTGCGATGCAACAGCTGAAAAAAATCGCAGAAAAAGTTGCGACAAATAGGCCCTTTGCAGCTGGGGGTCACGTGACCACATCGACCTTAAATCAGTCAGCAATGACAAAATGATGTCCAGAAATCGAAAGAGGGGATCAAAATAAGTAAGAAGACATAGTTTTACTAGTAAGTCTCAATACTAAATAACTCAAAATTGATAGCAAAATAAAATCATTTTTTTTCTAACGGAAACATATGCAAAAACAGAACTGGAGAGCAAGGCTAAAAAACGACGTTTTGACGGTTAATTTTTTTACTTTACGTTTAAGATGGGCTAACTAATGCGCCTTTTCAAAAAGAAAATCTAGAGAAGAAAAAACTTGTCACTAAACTAAACAAATTGGAACGCAGAAATCACGTATCCCGCGGCAAATTTTTAGAGTTATCCCAATCCCGCCGCGAAAAACGCACAATCCCGATCCCGCTTGCATTTTAAGATCTCGCATCGCGTCAAAATTTTTGTCCAGATCCCGAATCCCGGCATCCCGCATCCCGCAAAACCTATTGTGGACCCTAACAGGAAGGACCCGGGTTTCAATTAAGACCGAGATGCATAATAACTGCATTGGATTCAACAACAATATCTAACTCTGCGCTTCAAAAGTCTTTCAATTACGTTATCAATGTTTTTCTAAAAGAACTTCAGAAAGCGCCAAAGCGACATTTATCTATAATACGATTTGATACGGTGTTAACTGTTTTACAAAGGTCAAACTGAACGGGGCACGGTACATTCGAGTAAATTCCACGTAGCCTGCAGGTTCTCGTTTAATACTAGCATATTCAGAAATGTCTTGCCCAAAATTTACTGCATAAAACACTTTCGCGAGGCCCCTCAAAACTATTGGAATTCACATACAGGAGTAATTTCCCATTTTCAAAAGCGAAATACTCCGCGGACCTCCCAGCTAGTTGTTCCCCTGCGTAACACTTGAGAAATACTAAAAATATGCGGTTGATTTGTTGATATTCTCTATATAAGTAATTTGTTTACCATTTGAAAGCATGAACAAGTACAGACATTCCATATGTGTTCTTCAGTTCTGCAGTTGTAGTAAAAGAGAGTGACTCCAGTATCAGTTTGGTAAGCAAACCAGTCGTCACTGACAGTTTGTGGTTTTGTCTTTACATTGATATTCATGTTGGCATCTATTACAAAACCTAAAATAAAAACAGCTTTTTTAGCCTTGAACATTCAACATGGTGAGCCTTTTTCCTGTGTTGTAATGGAAGAAATACTGCAGAAAGGCAAAGCTCATCGGCCTACTGTTGAGCAGGGTCGAGAGGAATCAGATTGAGCGAACAAATATAAAGTTCTGGAAAAGTAGCTGGAAGTTTGAACGCGCGTGGCACCAAAATCAGTCTCATCGTAACGGTATCGAGGCTTCAAATGTCATAAATTATTATTATTCCGTCCTTACCTGAGGAAAAAACACGATGGAGGGGACATTTAGGTTTGGAATCCGGTGTTGGACACATGCAGACCGCAGACCGCAGACTGCAGACTGCAGACCGCAGACTGCAGACTGCAGACTGCAGACTGATAAAAGTAAATATATTTCATATGTAAAAGAAAGAACGACATTGCAGAACGACAACAAGATGTAGCAGGCCCGTAGCTAGGGGTTTTTATTTGCCCTAAGTGGACCAAATCGACAATCATAGTAAAATTTTACCTTTTTTTAACCGAAATGTGGACCTTTAAGAAGTACACGTAATTGACCTTTTGGTCTACCCTGGTTCCAGAGGTTTCTCTGTGTTATTCTCTGTGAAAATCTCTCCGTAGCAGCCACGCAGCTCGATGTCGCCGCTTCGCGGCGAAGAACGGAGAGATTTTCACAGAGAATAACACAGAGAAACCTCTGGAACCAGGGTACTTTTGGTCATACAAGATAAATCGTATAGGCATCAGTTTCTCGCCACTCACAAAAAATATATTTGCGAATTAAGAGTACAAAGGGGACAATTTAAAACAAACAAGAAATACAATATTGTAATAGAGATTATAATATATAATAAACAGAAATATGTAATATTAACTTCTCTGGGATTCACTGGATTCCAATCATTCCTGGACAAACATTTTAAAAACTTTGTTAATGTGACCGACTTGTCNATAGGGTATGGTTTTTGTCTTGGATATGCCGGATAGGGTTACAATTTGGTCTGAAAAGAGGATTGAGGTTTTGGTTGGTTTAAATCTGGAATAAGGAATAATATACACCCTTTTAATAAGTCCCGAGGTATTGTTTTTTCCGCACTTGACGTCAAATTTATTCTTTTGAAATTTTTACAATACAAAAGAAATTCAAAAGAATAAATTTGACATCAAGTGCGGAGAACGTAATACCTGAGAATGTGTTTTCGCCTGTGTTAAAAAGGGAGTGCAACCTCATTTAAAACTCATATTATGTCATATCTTTCCAAAGAGAAAGCAACAAATGATCATTGTAATTCCAGGCAGATTCTAATTGGATAAAACAGTGCATACGCATTCACGATATTCTGGATCACTTTTTCCGCGACCAACAGCTCGACGGAGCAGGATAAAAAGGGTCTGGGACTGGACTGTATTCTGGCACTGAAAGCGTCAAAATGTTATGTAATGAAAGCTTTAATGATAATTAAGAATTGTAACAGTTGAAAAAGAAAATAAAGCTCAGTGGGATAGGAAATAAAGCTGATGATGAAAAATACAAAGAACTGTAACCATTGCTAAATAATGTACAAGGGCAGAGCAGACAAAATAATGCCAGGAATAGAACCATGGAGAAATACATGTAGGAAAAAAAAAACAACTCATTACATTATGGTCTGTGTTATCTAAGTAGAAATTGAAATTCTAGATTTTAGATTTCCATTGTCTCTCTCCTCTCTGGTTCGGTGTCTGCTTAAAGAATTTTTTATTCTGAAGCCTTTATTACAGATTGTACACCTAGTTTCTCTCCTCTGTGGATTCGGCGATGAATATTAAAATCAGTCCTGTATGTGAATGTTTCGTTACAGATTGTACATTGGAATGCTTTGTCTCCACTGTGAATTTGATGATGACTGTTTAAATTAGTCTTGTGTGTGAAGCCTTTATTACAGATTGTACATTTATATGGTTTCTCTTCACTGTGGATTCGATGATGACTGTTTAACTGACTCTTCTGTGTGAAGGCTTTATCACAAATTGTACACTTAAATGGTTTCTCTCCACTGTGGATTCGATGATGACTGTTTAAAGAATCCATTTTTTTGAAGGCTTTGTCACAGATTGTACATTTATATGGCTTCTCGATCTCTCCACTGTGGATTAGATGATGTCTGTCTAAACTAGTCTTGTATCTGAAGGCTTTATTACAGATTGTACACTTAAATGGTTTCTCTCCACTGTGGATTCGATGATGTCTGTCTAAATTAGTCTTGCATCTGAAGGCTTTATTACAGATTGTACACTTAAAAGGTTTCTCTGGACTGTGGATTTGATGATGACTGTTTAAAGTACTCTTGTATGCAAAGGCTTTATCACAGATTGTACATTTATGTGGTTTCCCTCCTTGATGTATTTGATTATGGGTTTGCAAGCTACCTTTTGTTGCAAAGTCTTTATTGCAAATATTGCATTTGAATTCTTTCTCTCCTCTGTGTATTTGAATGTGTTGATTCAGGTACCCTTTTTGTTTATAGGTTTTATGGCATATTGTGCATTTGAATGACTTCTCTATTGTTTGAATTGCCTGTTGTTTCTTTGCATGATGCAGTACACCACTTCTCTCTAGATTGCTGCTTACTTTATTCTTGTGTGCTTCTTTGTGAATCTTTAAACTGTTCTTATGGGCAAACACTTTATCACAAGAGTCACATTTAAAAGGTTTTGTTCCATTGTGTATTATCTTTTCAT